TCTCTCTCCATTTTTTTTTTTTCCATGTCCCTTTAGGGGCTCCGTATATATTGATGAAAAACAGTATTTTAGGGCAGGGGTTCCCAAACTTTTCATTAATTTCAGAAAAAAAAAGAAAAAGTTTGAGAAACACTGCGCTAGTGGATTGTCAAAGAAAAAAATGTCTATGCAAATGTTATTATTAATAATAATAAAAAATAAAAAAAAGTTATACAAAAAATTAATCAATTTTTTTTAATAATGTTTATTTTTTTAATTTTCCATTTTTATTTTGTAATCATCTCGCGACCCCCACTTTGGGAACCCCTGTATTAGGGGACTTTTAAAGGGGCCTTATTCTGCTCATTTTCAGGTGTATATCAGTATGTAGTGTCTCTACTGTGACATGTCTCCGTGCTTTAATGTTCAAAAAGCTCTATTTTTCTCTTACTGCTGCAGCACCTCTTTTCACCCTCTGTCTGAAACCAGAGCCCAGTCTGCTCTGATTGGATAGCTGGCCGGCTCTGTTGTGATAGGTCAACTGCTTAGAGATCAGGTACAACATGTTGGAGCGCTAGCCAATACAAAGTGTGAGTTTTCCATAGTGATGTCATTATGTTAGAGAAGTAAACAAAGGAGTCCAATGGAGGTGTTTCAGTAAGGAAGAGAAACCCCCTCTGGAGGGAACACAGGGATTTTAGCCTTTGCAGACCATTTACATGCACAAAAACCTATACAACTACAGGAAAGGGAAAACTCCAAAAAGCCTAATAGGGCCTCTTTAACAAAAGAAAGATTGTTCAGAACGGTATCGCAGTCTCTCTAATATGTTTATCGCGCAACGGGAGGATAAAAACGATATTTGATGGAGCCCTTGTCTACCTTTCTAAAAATATCTGAAATGAATGTTTTTGTAAAAGCCTTCTCTCTTTTCTCCTTGCACCGTCCACACATATAAACCTCAGGGTTAGAACGTGTTCAGCAGCAGACAGCGAGACAAGCCACTACAGAACAGGGAGCCGATCACAGTCAGACAGGACGGAGCGAGGTCACAGCGACCCGGACCAGGTCATTGTGTCAAACTCCACGGGAAGGCATGTGTGTGTGTGTGTCGAGACAATAGTCGAGACAGTGTGTGTTCCCACAGATATAACAGACTCTCCAAACGCTGAACCTACCTTGTGGGAACTTCGCTTCAAGGCATTGCATAAAATAGATAAGCAAAAACACACAAACAAAACAAAAAAGAAGGATTGTTAGCCGTTTCCAGCTAAACAACAGGTTGCCATAGATGCACTTCCTGGCGTGTCATCACTCAAAAGGGGAAATTGGTACAAACAAGTTGAAGAGGAGTGCAGAAGTGTTATTGTTTGCGAAGCTATAATATGACTCAGGATCTCCTTGATAGCAAGTCTGCGAGTGTGTGTGAGGGCTGGGAGGGGGGGGGGTCCCCTCAAAGAACTGTTAACAGTGTGTGGGTATCTGGGCTGCAAATCCAAAACCCCAAATTGAGGGGTTTGTTTGCCAGAGGAGGAGTGGGAACAGTTCGAGGTTTGCTCCAGCTGCGGGGAAACCACAAGACCTCAGCTCAACAAACTAACAGGGAGACATCGCACAGACAAGTAACTTAGCCTAGTCCTCACTAGTATCAAAGGGATCTGAAAGTGGCCTTAAGACGCAGAAGACCAATGTTAACAGACATAAATACACACATAACTAAAACAAACTATGCCTGTTATGTATTTTCTTCCTCGCCTATCATGCATATTTTTTGTCTGACCCGAACCTACTTTCACCACAAGACTCCAACTGTGACACAAACACAAATAAGGCTGGAGTTGTGACATGTCATTCCTTTGGGGGATAAATACTCAGAGGTCCTCTAAATATTGAAGGGAAAATGCCACAGAAAATAACACATTGAGACACATGATCGGCTCTCACCAAAACATAACTTGAGCAAAAGTAAATGGTACTCGACTTTTGCTTCACTTTCACCCTAACATAGCAGATGCAGCGTAACGATAGAATAGTAGTGCTTCTTTTATATGCTATTTGCAATTGAGCTAAATAACCTTTACCACTAAGGATGTGGAGAAGTCATGAGGCGTCACTTGAGTGTCTAAACCACAGACTGACACAAGACACAAACTTCCTTTCACTTTTTTTCAAACCTCCGCATATTCTCGCGCCCTTTCTAGACTCTAGTTAGAAAGATCACAGGTATTAAAACTAATCCCACAGATACAATACACCAATAAAGGACATGAGAGAAGAATTGAAAAGGAACATGTGGGAGAAAGATCTTCCACGCTGACAGATGTGACAGTCTTCTGTATTCGTTTGACATTTCTGGAGAATGGAAATGGGAGTAGGTGAAAAAACTGACTTGGGCCAAACGACCCAAACAGAAAGGAAAAGCAAATGAGAAAGCGATTATTTGTTGCAAGGATCTACACAATGGCAAGCAAGACGATATACAAAAAAGCATGTTTGTTTTATTTTTTGAGGTATGTGGGATCGTTTGCCACAGCATCTTAATTACGTTACATGATTCAGGAGGTTTAAAGGGGTTTTAGGTCTGCTAAAAAGCATTGTGTTTGAGGCCTTTAAATACATTTCTCATATAGTTTCCATTGCTGCCTACTGTTTTCTGATGCATATTAAAAAGGGTTTAGATGTATTTCCTACTTTCATGGTTACTCTACCACCTTCAGAGACAGTTATAGAGAGAAATACACTTACACTTTATCTAAACATTTGCAATTTGAGTTCTTTTTCCAGTGCAACGTTATTCTGACCAGTAGTTAGAATGTCAACAATGGTGAGAATTAGAGCTTGATTGACACATACACTTCTTTCCTTTAAACAAAACATTAATGAATAAAACAATATGCACACTGTAAAAGTATCATGTTCAATGTGGTACTTCTGCTAAATAATAAATACTTGTTTTTGTATTAAATGAAGCATCTTTACATTTTAAGTGGTATGAAAGCCAATTAAAAAGTTTCAAAGTTTGGCAAAACTGAAGCTATGATCCTGCATGATGATTTGACTCCAGCATATTAAAGAGCTGTTTACATGATCACATTACACAAACACTGATACTAACTGAGAGCAATAATACAGTGCTGACTGCTGTGAGTCTTTCACGCTTCAATAAATGAAATAACTGTAATCACACACAGCTCCTCTCTTGTTTTAGCGCTGGTTTCTGGAGCTGCTGTGCCGGCTCTTTCCAGTTGAGTTTCTAGTTCCAGTGTTCAGTGGCTGGAGCCTTTTGTAGCTTCTTGGCTGTATGTCCGGAGAGCAGAAAGGCTCTTTATTCCAGCCTACATTTGCATAATAATCGGGTCTGAACTGTGTCAACTCTGAGTCGGGGCTCTGCTCCAACAGCTGATGAAGCGGCAGGAGCACGCGCTGATGACCCATGATGCCTTGCGGGCGTGGGGGGCGTGTGGGTTAAAGGCTGAGATTTGACAGGACTCTTTTAATTGGTTATGACAACAGGAAATGGAATCAGCTACAGGCCCAGGGGGCTCTGCGGCAACAAGTTCTGAATCGGATCATCGCTGCATCATGTGAGTGTGGGTAATCACAGAAAAACAAAACTATATATTCAGATTATTCACTGTAAAAAAGCCGAATAAAATGTGTGTAATCCACACACACGTTAGAGCTGCAATGAGTAGTTCATTAACTAATAAGGCTATCAAAGGAATATAATCCACAACTGTTCTAAAAGACTGTTTGGCGCAGTGGTTAGAGCGTTGATCATCAGATCAAGGGGCGTTTGTGAACTCCATTACGAAACCCACCTCAGCCGCCACTGCGCCAGGCCGTTGTGTCCTTGGGCAAGACACTTTACCCGAATTTGCTCCTGTGGGTAATGTCAGCAGTAATGACTCTTACATATCTAATATGTGTAATGTGTAATTGTAAAGCGCTTTGAGTACCTGTAAAAGCGCTCTAATAAAAAATGTAATGCATCATTAATATATATTTATATTTATTTTTTTTAAATGATGATTTAAAGGGAAAGCCTGATACCTCCTAAAAAATATGGGCGAAATTCCTAATTTATTTTGGAAAGGAACTAGATATGACCTTGTCTAATTAGTATGTGAGATATAATTGGATTTGCTATTTGTTTACCAATTTATTGTCAAACCTTTTGGAAATGTCATATGGCCATTTACATAGTTTATAATTTATGTTGATTTAAATGATCTCTCTTTAGAATATTAATGTACTACTAATATCTGTATATTTCTGTACAGTATGTTCTTTATGTAAAATGTCTTTTTTGTGTATTTATCCTATTGTTATTATTCTATATACTGTACATAGTGTATGTGTAATGTCTTTTTCTGTTAGTTGCAGCCATAAAAATACGCAAACACAATAACACACAAAACAGCACAAGCATGGACACAAAGTCCTCTCTGTTGCTAAGGCTTGGTTTCTGCTCTCCAGTGATAATGAGGACTGCTATCAGCTTTGTTTTGCAGGACATCACTGTGCTGCTGAGACAATGCCAGCCTTTACACACAGACCCTGGCATCAAACACACGGTCACTCAATCTTTCTGTCTTTCCAAGAGAGAGTCACGGCTTGGGGTGCATGGAAGGGGGAACAAAATGTAAAAAAAACATGGCGAGAGAAAGGGGGAGGATGCTAGGTGGGGGGGGGGGCTAGGCAATCGTGGTGAGCATGATGAGAAAACGACAGGCTTGCGTGATTGGTGGCTGTAGAACAGGAGTGAGAGATGACACATACCTTTTCCACGTCAGCCTTAGTCACGTTAATGTCAGCATCCATCTTCTCAAAGTATTGCTGTGCTCGGTCCGCCTCTTTACAGTCCCTCTCAAACCTTCTTTTACACTGTAATAGAGCATAAGAAAGGCACAATGTAATAGAACACAGACATTAAACGTAAAATAAGTAATGTTCTAATCCAGAAAATGTAAAAAATAAGGCTTGCACTTGATAAAGTCGATTCATGACAGCTAAGACAATCACAACACTGTGCAAAGGGGATATGCAGCCATCACATGCGACCAAAGGAAAATGACCCTAATTAAATCTGTAGATTTTTTGAGAATTGTCAGAAACAACTCAACAAGCTAACTAATAGCATTTGTTTCTTTGATAGGTCTAGTCTTTTTAGACATTTTATAGTGGAAATGTTCCATATAATACCTGTGAGTCATTCATTTCCTGCTTTGAGCTGTAGGAGAAAAGACTTTATAACCTGACCTTTTAATAAGCATAGTAATGACATCTTAACATGTTTCATATGCGTCATATAGATCTCACACACAGCATTGTCTGTGACAGAGGTCAGTTTATGCCATTGACACAGCGGTGGGGTCTGTCAAAGTGTGCAGCCTGCAGATTAAATAAATGTTCATAGTGGTCATTTGTGTACGGAAAACAAGCATTCATTCAACCCTCTTTCGACCCCTCCATCTGAACAATCAGTGTTTGTTGGGTCAGTGTGCACTCTGAACTATGCCTATCTGCCTCGCTCACAAAGGCATCATTGAAGAGAGAAAAGTTTGAGGAGGACAAGGCAGTTCTGCTTCTCTCTCACACTCTTTCTGTCTTTACCCTGTCAAAGAGGCCAGGCAGAGATAAGAAGCGGTGTTCTGTGCAATCTCTCTTTCAGCTGCTTCAATAAAACAAATACAACGGACAATCTAGGTCTAGGTCTTTGGCAAAGATAGGAATTATAACGTCATGTGTTTTAGTCTGGTCTACTGATCACTACTAGGCCACACAAGCAAAACTTACAATTCATATTCATGTGTCTGATTTTGAACCGACCAATTCGTGGTAGATCAGTCTTTTTACCCTAAAAGACTTAAATGGTACACGTAAACACACAAGTCTTGAACCAACATTATTTATGTACAATAATTCAATCCTTATGTAACACTGTCCTGACGGAACAAGTTGTCCCTCAGGGCTCTGTGCACGGCCCTCTGCTGATTTTCAGAAATGAATGTTTGCCACCCACTGAAAATAAGCTTTTGATGATGATAATGTACTTTATAATAACGAAGCTCCTCATGAAGTCCCTGTTAAAACATGTGTTGTGGTATCGTGTGACATTGATGCTGATTGATCATAAGACTGTCAATATCAACAGGACATTTATAAACTATTTGATATGGTTTTTATTCATTTTCTGCAATAGTAGACCTGTCCTTGATGCATCTTTTGTATGATTTGATAAATAGCTGAAGCAACTAAAAGCACATAGCTAAAATCCCATGAAAAGTGTGTGTGTGCTGTTCATAATCAGAACTTGACCTATAAAATACGTAATTTTAAATCATAATTAAAGTTATGATACGATTGATAACTGGTTTTATCTTTGGAAAAACTACACCAATTAATTTACTTTTTGTATAATTCGAGCTCATGAATGCTGTATTTTCATATTAAACGATTTACTTCTCAACATTCTCTAACGTTAACAAGCTTATCATCTTTAGCCAGCACTGACTGTCGCTTTCTCCGTATAAAATAATAACTTGTTGGCGTTTGAAATAGTCGTACTGGAAACCAAGTTGCCCAGGTGCTTCAGTGATATATATAACTGCAAAAGTAAGTCACAAGGCAAGGGTTACATTACTTTACTCAAGTGTTGTCTCCTTTGACTCCACTGTGATCAATGGCCACTGCTTCTAGTGAATAACTGTACTGCACATTAATTGGGTCACTCACCGATTCCAGCTGTTTCCACGAGCTCTCGATGTGCTGCTGTGCCTTGCGCCCATCATGGAAGGACTGTCAGAGGAGATGAGAAAAAATGATATTATCATACCATTCACAAGCGTAAGGGATTTAAAAGCAAGTGACCCTCACATAGTAAGGGTAATAAATTAGAAACAGTGGAGTGGGATTCTCAACCATATCATTAAACACTATGCATATTACTGACAGAGAAGCATTCATGTAAGCTGAGAAAGTAGGGCAAATAGACATTATACTGTGGCTACATTAGAAATGATGGCCGCATAACCTACAAGCTTTACTCTCAGAGATTTGTACAAGACCAAGCATATGGCTATATGTTGATTTGATAGAAAAGAGCAGCCATATTATAACCCAACAGTTCAACACGAGTGCAAAAAAGGACATACTCTTACGATTTCAACATAGCACCAAAACACCCAACTGAATGAAGGCTAGAGATGAATAAAAGAAGGTCAAACATAGTGTATTATATAATAATTTCATGAAACTTCTAGTTCAAACCTGAATGCTATCTGCTGTTCAACAAAGAATATGTACATTCTAGATACATATTGTTGGTTCACTGTTATCGAAATGTCTAGATACACATTTCCTTATAATTCAGGAGGATTTTTTTTGTAGTTAGAGGCATTTGTTTCTTTCAAAAGAGGCATTGTATTATAATTGAATAGGCAGTCCGTCATTATGAAGGCACTTGTCAAAAAAGTAAATATTAAAAAATGTTAAGTGGGCGAGAACGGTTTCTCAGGCTGAGGATAGCGGCGCCACAGTAATGTAAGGATTGATTTGTGCACTGCAAAATGTGGCCTATTAGACTTACACAGCATATATGTGATTTTGTAAAAGACCTCACTTGGCCTGTCTCTCTCCAGGAGAGCAGAGCACTTGGCCCGGAGGCAGAGCACGCTCTCTACAGCTCTGTGAATGGACCAGAGCCAGACCTTCTGCACACATAATAGCAACTTTAAACCTGTTTGAAATAGATTGTGATTACTCATAAAGCATATAAAAAAAATCCTCAAAGTCTGTGGTGTGTTAATCTGCAAAAAATATCCAAAAAGAACCAAATGAAAATGTTACAGAGACCTGACTATCAATGAGGTTTCCCCGGGTTACGCTGACTGCGGAAGCCAGGGTCAGTGGCTGAGCTGAATATCGATGCTGCAATTCAATAACGAAACCAGGCCAGTAAAACGAGCACAGAGGACTTTGGCTTTTTCTTCTCTTGAATTCAGCACCTTAGTATTCTGTGTACTAACTCAAACACACAAGCAAGAGATGTGAAATGAAGCAGAGGCATACAGGTTAATCCATCCTGAACATTTCATGGGATATGTTAGTCAGAACGGGCCCTGGTTTACCTCAGGTAGTAGCACTTCCCAAAGTTACAAGGGAAGCTGGGTAAAAAGGGGAAGTGCTTCAGTGTTTCAGAGGAAGTATTTCAACTGAAAATGGGACATTGTGGAGCCTCTAAAGTAGAACTGGTGTGTAATAAAGATTTTTGTATTTTTTCAACCGCTTGACCTTCAAATTTCTGTTTGATAAGAAGAGTCTTATTCAGCGATGAAGATATGCCGATACACTAAAGATACTATGAAGCTTCTTTAGGACACGCAGCAGCAGATTGGGTGATATCATTGTTACTGTTTGAATCAACCAAATATGTGTCTCCATAACAACAAGATCATACTGCCTGCATCAACAAATCCTCCATCTGTACAAAGATATACAAACTTTCCCCAAACAGCGTGATCGGATGTTACTGCTGCAGGATGAAGATGTACAGACCACAACAGAGGAACATGAGTTCATTCGCTATCAAACGAGATAAAAGAAAAACCGATGTATGTCTATGACAAACAGCCACCTGGGAGGCAGGTATGAAATGCTGCAGGCTTTTAGGCAGATGTTCTGCAGTGTTGGCCTCTGTGTTTAAACCAATACACTGCAGGGATCCATACAGCTAGTCTGTTCAGCGCAAGAAAGATTAGACCCACCCAGTATCTCTTTGTCCGTCTCAGTAACAGCATGTGGCTGTTAAAGACATCTGGGGAACTCTAACAGGACCTGAAGCTGCCACTCTCACTTACACAGTGACAAGAGAGGAAAAGCTCCAGTTACCAACACAAAAACACATCTGAGTAACAGTTACAAACTTAACTGCACTGTGATCAAAGCAGGACTGGATCACTATTCATCAGAGACGTGAGGTCGGCCTGGTTTAATATTTACTAAATGATGCTAAGCAGCGCCGCTCTGTGCTATGACTACATTGAAAAAAACAAAGTAATTCTTCACGCTAGCCCCTGCTCCTTCTCACCTCCCAGCACAAGACTATCTCCAGGTAACAAAACACAAAGGCAGGTAAGAATGAAGACACACAGACGTAGCTATGGACAAAGGTATAGATCAATGTGGTTCTATGGACTTTTGTTTTTAGATTTAATAGATTTAATTCCAACAGAGAAAGTTAAGAGATTAATGCTCTCAAGTTCTCACAATAATCAGTATTATCACAGCGTCAAAGAAAATGTCAACATTTTATAAAATATTGTTCCCTCTGCAGTCTTACAATACCTCAAATATGAATGTACTTTAAGTGTAGTGATTTTAGAAGGCAGACACCCTCTACAGAGATCTGAGATTGCTACCAAATACCCTGAATTCTAGACAGTATTTTAGCGCTGTTTTTAGTGCAGTATTTATCCACAAATTAATGATATGTATACTTTGTAAATGTTATTCATTTCGTAAAGACTTTTACTTTGTTTGGTTGTAAAACTGTAAACCACTTCCTCCATAAAGTAGTCTGTTCTTATTGTGTGCATGATGATGTCTTAACCATGAAATGAAGTGTCCAATGTCTGACTACTTTTTTGTACCATCTTTGCACCTGACATGCTCTGATGGGGCTGTGTGCCTCACAGGCTGTCCCCTCCACATATACACATGTATTAACTGTGTAATATGTTTGAGCAAAAGATGACAGGAAAAGAAGGATGGGACATTTAACAAACATCCTCCACCACTGTCTGATCAATTAACCTACAGTATTTTCCTCTGAGTTACATTATGATTTATTTTCGCCAGTGGGAGGAATGTGGGAATGTGGGATACTAGGTAAGTGAAGGTTGGGTAGGAGTTGATAGATGTGGGATGGCTAGTGTTTAATCAGTCAATGTTCTCAATACTGTTGTAAAACCAATAAAAGGATTTGAGAAATTCCATTCTCTATTTTCCACCCGAAATAAGAGGAACAAAAACTTTGCTCCGAGATTTCATTTCAGTGTTGCGTTTGTGAAGAGGTGCTCATGGACATCTGTGTGCACACACACTCTCTTACACACTGTTCACTCATTGACTTGACTTGGCTCAGAGGAATGTGCACCTGCAGTCATCTACAGTTGTCAACATACATATAATCATAAGGTACTAGAAATAGCCACAAGTCATACATGATGTATAGAGATGATTGCACCTCAGGAGAGACTCCTCATGTTTAGGCCATTAGGCAGTGGTTCGGAGCATTGCTGAGGTCATTTATACTAAAGTATTCAGGATGCAGATGTGAGTGCAGCTACTACGGAAATATCCAACGATCAATTCTCCTTCCCTTCTTTCTGTTTGCCTTTCTGCTGTGAGGCTCGTCCAGAGTAACACATTGTTCTTTCTCAGAGGCTTTGGTCTCTGCCTCTGAAGAGATAAATGAGGACAGTATGCCCTGCCAAACCCTCCTAAAGATGTTTTATAGCACCTTGTCGTTTTCAGCTGACCTCTTGCTTACTTTCCAGACCCCGCCAGCTAAATAAGACATATTTTCAATCTTTCTTGCTGGTTGAACATGTCACATCTCAGCAGGATTAAGACCGATGGAACCATCCACAAAAACCCAAAGATATCATTTGTGCTGTCGGTGCAAGTGGATCCAAAAGAGCACAGACTGAACCTAACCCTCATCTGGACACATGTTGAATTACGCAGTGAGGTTTATAAATGTTTCAGTACATTTCTCCTGAGGACATTTTATTCAGATTTTCAGATTCATATATATATTTATTGCCTACTAATGTCTCCATGCTTTAATGTTCAAAAAGCTCTTTATTTTTCTCATACTGCCTGTGCTGCAGCTCCTCTTTTCACCCTCTGTCTGAAACCAGAGCCCAGTCTGCTCTGATTGGTGAGCTGGCCGGCTCTGTTGTGATTGGTCCACCACTTAGAGATGTCCCGCCCCTTCGCCTATCACGTACAATGTGTTGGAGCGCTAGCCAATAGAAGTGCGAGTGTTACATAGTGATGTCATTATATTATAAAAGTAAACAAAGGAGTCCAATCAGAGGCCAGTAGTCTGGCCAAACACCTTTTTATGGCAAAAGATTTAACATAGATGAAGTTGTTTTTATACTTTTTAAATGCATAATGTTAGAAATTATATGCTTAAATCTAAAGAAGTACATATATTTCAACAACAAACTAAATCCAAAAGTTTAAAACAACAAGGTTCAACTTTTGCAAAAACAAGTACTGTTTATCTGCTCTCTTATGAAATCCTTTAAGAACATTCTTGGCCGCGCCTCCTGTGCCACCCCAAGCTGAGCATAGCGAGAGGTCCACTCAGGGAGTTACCAAACAACCCCACAGGAGAAACTAATGAGGTATTATTTCTCTTTCTCCTTCTGGTCTGTAGCGTGGATTTTACCTGTCCAATAAACTGGCGGACCCTCCTCTAATCCCACTGTCTGAGTCTGCCTGCACGGATTTGTCTGACATACACGCAAATATAAAAAAAAAACTCAACAGCAAGTGCTGCTTAAAAATGCATGTGATTGAAACCAGAGAAAAGAATGACGGGAAGCTGAGGAAGTCTTGGGTAAGGATTGATTTACAGACAACTTTCACAATATTGCTTTTTCTAATAACGTTATGAACAAAAATATGAAAAGCTTATTGTTGTCCGGGCACAGAGTAGCTAGTTTCTTTTGGCTTGGCTGCCTTTCAGACACTTGGAACATGTATAATTGTTTGAATCTCCATCATTCATGAGTGTGTTGAGGGCACCGATGTCTTTCAATGAACACTAAAAAAAGAAAAGAAAAGCTAATACACTACATTTACCCTACAAGGACACTATTCTGCATATGACTGAGAAACTATTTGCTCAATGCCCTTTGAGATGAAACAAGCTTCTGTTCAGAAAAGACACACAGTTATGCTATGAAGGGAAACTCCCCAGCACCGGCTAACTGGATGCTTTTTCAATTCACGAGAGGCAGACACACATGACTAACTAGGAAGACAGAGGGGGAACAAAAGAGAGAAACAGGGATATCATGAACAAATTAAATAGAGGGAAACTGCAGGGAAGTGAGGAGGAAGAGGGGAGTCAGAGTGACATCCTGCAGGCTCGGGACAGCAGGGGTCTGTTCATGGACTCTCTATCTGGACACTAGTGATACAGATGATGTGCCAAGCCAACCCAGGCCACGCTAAAACAAAGCCAAAAGAGCAAATGGTCTGGGGGCGGTGGATGATTCCCCTTGAGATGTGCTGGAAATTCCCATTTCTGATGCATTTGCTGCAGCTAAAACTGAGATAGAAATCACAACTGATCACTAACAATGCAACCGAGGGCTTCAAGTATTTAGTGTAAGAAGCAGCTGCAGCAACATGGATGTCACCATCATGTGCTTTGAACATTTACTCCCAAAAAAGGGTCACTGTGCCTTTGAGCAACCCTCTGCTTATGGTTTTCCACTCCAGTTCCCTCAGCTGGACGTCCGTGACTCAAGAGTGCATGAAATATTTTTTCAGTATTCCTTTTTTTTCCAGCTGAGCAGCTTTCTCTCTGCTCCACCTAACAACTCCATAGATGCAATGGGCTCCACACTGTTATCTGTGAATCACACACTGCAGGTTCACCGCTCTACCAAATCACTTCATAATGGCGAGGACCAAAGTGACTTTAACGGTAAAAATAGTGTGGTTGCAGAATGGTTTATAAAAGAGAGAAATAAGCCTCTAATGATAGGGAGACGATGACTCAGTTAGTCACGTTCTGCACTTCTAGTGAGCCTCAGGCTGCATCTATATTTACTCAGCGATGACCTCAGTTCATGCAAAATAGAGGATGCAGCGAGGCAAAGGACTACTTCATTTCTTGTAGGCCTGTGTGTCTTCTTTTCCTTTATAGAATCCATTTCACACACTCCAGAATGAATGTTTGATTTAAAGCACTGACATGTGAGAATGGGCAATAAGATATAGACGTATCAATAAAACATTGGATATGGAGAGACAGAAATAAGTGCGGATATAAAAGTGTGTCTCACGGTTTTTCTCTCTGCTTTGAGCTCCTGCAGGTAGCGTGACAGCTCGGCGATGATTTGAGACGTCAGGTTCTCCGCTATGACCTCGTGTTGACCCGCGTAGTCATTGAGCTCATTAAGTGATGTGAGGAAGGCTCGACAGAAGGTGAACCTGGAGAGACAGGAAGTGATGTCAGAGGAAAGACAGGGTTGCAAACGGAGGCAAACACAATTAATATGTTCAGATAAAGTCCTTTGGAGCTTGGATTTGTGATGCTTGCAGGATCATGTTAAATGATTATGTTTTGCTACAGGTAGCATCGGGTTAGCTTAGCATAAGGACTGGAAATGAAGGAAACACGTTCAATCCAACATATGTAGCATTTAAAAACACAAAAATACATTTTCACATGGTGTAATTTATCAAACATTACAAACATTATTTTTTTTTCACTCATATAACTCTTCCTAAGAAATGAACACAGGTAAGCATTTTTTTTACTTTTTAAATATCGAAATATAACGGTTTCAATCCTGTTCATTGCTAAAATATCATTTTATTTATCCTGTTCCTCATCTTTAACACTTAAACACTGTTTTGGTAAGCGCTTTTTCAATTACACAATGTTATATTGTAAAATACATATTTTGCACATTGCATATTTCTATTTGTTGTTCTATTCCCTGTTATATATAAGAATTCACACATTTTGCAAACTAATTTCTTCTATGAATTTGATATACTTTTGTTTAGAAAATGTTACAGTGTTGATTTCTTGATCGTATATCTTGTAAGAATATAATATCTTAGAAACAATTGAATATTCCTTTGATTTATTGTAAGAGCGACATCCTTTCACTTACTTGCTCTCATCCTCCTCTCGTGAGTTCTTCTTGGGTTGATACTTCTTTGATAAATTCCTGTAAGGACAAAGAATGCAGCCTTGTCAGACATTTCTTTCCTAAAAGCTCATTCTGCAGACGGGTAGTGCACCCTTCCCATTATATTTCCCTGACACCGCCTTTATGGAACCTGCCAAAGGATCATCCAGAACACCATTCAATCCAGCAGAGTGCTTTCTTCCACAACATCCCCTTTCCTCTCTTCTGCTCATAAATCATGCCCTCCAGGAGAAGCATGCAAGCAGAGCCAGTCACCAGAAACAGGTCTGCTTTTCTTATGCGGCCATTGCCCTTGTGTTGACTCTGGCTGTATGTAAGTGGCACGAGATAAGTGCAGCGTGAGGGGAGAAGGAAAAATGTGACGGTGTGTAAAGATGAAAGAAAATAAGATGAAGGTGATAAGACTGCGGACAATAACCTTTGTATGGTTCTGACCATCCTTCAATTTCCTGTTTTCAACCTAGCAAGCGTTTTGTGTTTTTTGACATGTTACAGTACATCATGTCAGCCCTTGTTCCGAATCCATCATAATAATAATAATAATAATACATTTCATTTATTCGTTAAAAACGACGTCATCTCAAGGTGCTTCACAATGCTATAAGGAGAACATAATAAAACAAAATAAAAAATGATCTAAGGAGCATATTGATTAAAATATGGTAATATAAAAAAGGTTAAGAACATAAACGGTTAGAATAAAAGATCATGACGTTGCAACACACTGCAACACCCAATGCTCTGTTTGATGGCTGCCCTGTCAGCAAAACATAATAACGTGCACTATGCTCTGATGGACATTGTGTGCTCAGGCCTTCAGGATGCTGTGTTAAATCATAATTAAAGAGCACTGTTCTCTATTTGAAAAGATGAGCCAACAAGTGAAGCATGTACACAAACAAGCACAGCCATTCATTTTCACTCAAATCTCAATATAACAAACATATAAATGAGGGAGACACATTATCCAACCATATGTTACGCCCTACAAGTCGAGCCACAGCTTATTAGGATGTTTTTTTGAATGGGTGCACAGATTCGTTTTGATCGGATACTATTCAATTAAGATTGATTTATTTTCCGCCTCAGTAGATATTCGTCTAATGTGATAAATGAAAAGGAAAAAATGCCGGTTCAGTAATTGGAGACAGACAGCCAGGGCTTCATTAGCAGATAAGAGAACAGGAAGATATTGAATGTTTTTCTTTGTATGCCGCAACAGAATACATGATATTGTTGAGTTTAATGGAAAAGTACGAACAATTAAAGGCTGGCAGAGAAAGCTGTTTGATGAAGTGCCATTATATCACATTACATGTGTTAAACATAAAACAACAGTTATATAAAAGAGTGTGGTGTATCTGCTTTAATGCTGCAGGGAATTTCTTGATTATTTTCTTATTTGCATTATCAGTTTAACCATGTGTGCTCCACGTATGATTCGGAGGTGCTGTTCTCTTGGTTTGATTCTATTGTTGAGACGTTTATACTTGTATGTGTCTGTTCTGTGGATTTCATATTGCATCCATGTTGTACAAATGTATAAAAAGAGATAAAGGTTTTCAAAAAAGTTATAAAATGTATAAAAATATCACAATTATTAGTACAAGGTCAGAAGCTCAAAAAGTCTATCCACTTCTCATATGAGAATCAAAAAGATAATGTGCTTTTATAGAGCTATTAACAGCAGTGGTAGTTGCCCTTGTTGTGAGATTATAGCACTGCTGGAATCTAAATGCCTCAGCATGAACATTTTGTAAAAAGGTCATTCAAAATTCCTGCTGAAATAAATAATGCATGTTCTAAAGAAAAAAAACGACATGTAATGCTGTCTCGCTCGGCTCACACCCCCCACGCCTCTCCTCCCTGGTGGTGTTTGCACTGTTGCTAGGCAGATCTATCCGCCTATCTCTCTCTCCATGTCCTCCTAACCCCATCTCTAATTATAGAGCTGCTTCTCACTCACTCTCTCATTCACAGCCAGATGTCATGTGTCAGATTATGTGTACCTGCTCACCTCAACAACATATTATAACAAACATGTGAAAATGAGTCCAGCAGTTAGCTCATAATTAGGATTTAACAAGCACTGTTGCACAAATACATGTTTGTGTATTGCCTTATTATCTCTGATACCTCATTCACACCAACGGTGTTTCAGGGCCGGTTCGGAGCTGGAGCTTGAAAAGCACCGGGTTTTCCTGTTCACACCGCAGCGGAGCAGCCTCTTAGCTCCGGAATCCGGTTCATTTCGAGCACCAAAAAATTATCCGGCCANTAACCCCATCTCTAATTATAGAGCTGCTTCTCACTCAATCTCTCATTCACAGCCAGATGTCATGTGTCAGATTGTGTGCTCACCTCAACAACATATTATAACAAACATGTGAAAATGAGTCTAGCAGTTAGCTCATAATTAGGATTTAACAAGCAC